CCCCGCGCCTCTCCACGGGCCCCCAGGCCTTGCCCCCAGCCGCAATGCGCCCCAAATTCGTGCTGGACCGCGGCGCCTCAATCACCTGGATGGGCCTCTTCTTCCGCACCTTCCTCCCGCCCGCCCCGCTCGGCGCCGCCGGCGCCGCGCGCCGCGCGGCGCTCGTCGGCGCGGCGGGGCTCGACTGGGGCGGCCCGGCGCCGTTTGTGGCGGCGAGGGGGGGACGGTCCTCTTATGTCGATGTGTCGTGGCAGTTCCAGCCGGGCATGGCGTGGGTGTTTGACCAGCCAGACGCAACCTTTTGGTGAGGGATAACGGCTGGTTGGCGGGCTTGGATGCAAAACCCCGTCCCTCCGTGACAAGGCTTGCGCAAAGAGGAGGGGGTCGTGCGGGTGCCGGCGCGGGGGGCGCCGTCTTTGGCCGCCGCGCCGTGTTTGGAAGGGCCGCTCGGCGCACGAAAAACGAGGAGCTGTCGCGCGAAACCAGCTCGGTGCAGAGCGGCTGATCGCACGTCAAAGCTGGCTTCATGATGCGTGACGTGCGGGAGTCGCAGCTTCATTGCTGCAAAGCTGCACGTACACGCATGCCTGCACACAAACACGCAGCGCACACAAACACGCAGACGCACACACACGCGCGCACTTGCGCACACCTCACCCGGCCCGCTTGCAACCCTGCACACCAGGTCGGCAGCAATTGCAGGCTCAAACCCAGCCATGCGCAGCATGGACGGCGGCGCCGCCTACGAGCCGGGCCTCTCTGCTGTCTACACAATCTCCTCATTTGCCATCGCGCCCGCGGCCAGCGTCCGGGATGCGACAGTCGCGATGGACGCGAACGGGTGCTTCGGCGAGGCGGGCGGGGGCGGCGATGAGGACGAGGCGCTGATTTTCTGGTGGGTGGGCGAGGGGCGGCGGGGCGGGGCGGCTAGAGGCGGGGTGGACTGGGGTGCGGGCTGCCTTGGGGACGGCCGCGGGAGTGGCGCGGGCGGGCGACTGGGCTTTTGGGAGTATGGCGCTGCTTGGCGCGAGCAGTGGGCGTGGATGATCAGCACTGCCAGGCAGGCTTATCGCTGTGTTCTGTGTGTTGCTGGGAAGTGAGGAAGGGCATTCTCGCATCAGCCAAGGTGGGGGTGGGCAGCATGGGCAGATAAGAAGCTGTGGGAGGTGCACAAGGCGCTGCACGCGGCAGGCGCAGGGGCGGGCCCCCCGATGAGTGGGCACGAGGCCCAGGCAGGGGGGGTGGGATATGCGCAAGCCGCGGGTGGGCGGGGCCTGGCACGAGTGGCGTGGTGGGGGGGAGATGGATAGACTGGGTCTGCTGAGGATGATGAAGATATGATGGCAGGGACGTGTGACAGACGCAGTACATCAGAGCGGTTCGTAGCGAGCAGGATGTGCGCAGGGGTGTGGTGGCGTACATGCGGCGGAAGGAAGGCCACTCCGACGCAGCCTGCCGCAGAGGCAGGGGCATTGCGTTGATTGTGGGTTTGTGGCGGGGGCCTCCGCGCCGCCCAGGGGGAAGTCGGCGGCGGCGGGACCAGCCACCCCCTGCAGTAGGGAGGTAGCCCATGCTCGTGCCTCGCCGCTGCTCGGCCTGCCCAAGCACCCCCCCCCTCCGCTTGGTCCGGCCCCCGATTCCCTGCTTCCGATGTCCCCAACACCCGACTCTTCGATTTAGACACTCCTATCCCTGCTCCCGCTCCCCTCCACCCAAAAGCCAACTTAATGAATCAGACAACCCATGACAACCCTGACCAAACGACGTGCCACCCAAACAACCCGAATCCACAGCCCTTACAGCTTCAAGGACTCTCTGAAGAACCCCTGGCTGAAGCGCGTGTACCTGTTCCACGACATCGGGCTGGACCGATTAGTCAACACGTACCGCGACCCCGTCATCGTCACCCGCGCGGTGACCTTCACGTCGTGCAGGGGCTCGCACCACGTGAGTTGGGGCGCGCCCTCCCGGCTGGGACGCGAGCGGAGCGTTTGGGCATGCATGCGGCTGGTGTGACTTGTGCCGGAGGGGGTTGCGAGAGGAGGACACTGCAGAAGGCGGGCGGCCCAGGACCAAGCAGGTTTGCTTAGGGTTGGCGCTGGAAGTGGCGGGCCCACATACAGATGACTTTGGTCGGTCAGCTTTGCAGTGCGGACTTCCTCGCCGCAGGTGATGGACCTGGACAATGTGACGTCATCAGTGGTGGTCGGCACTAAGGGCGTGCTCACCTTCGACGGGGTCACCCTGCAGGCGAGCACGCGCAGGGGCGCCACGTTTCAACCGGGGCTTTGAGCCGCAAGCACAGCGCACAACGCCACCAGCCTCGCGCCAGGGGGGCCCTAGTGAAGTTAATGTGCCCGCTGGCACTGGCGCGTTGTGCGGCCCTGCTTTCAATGGCTCTCGCCACAACGGGGGCCTCCTCGCTTGTGCCCCGCTTCCACCTAAATGCCTGCTGGCCCCTGCCTTCCCTCTACATGCTGCCTGGAGTGCAGACGGCTCCCCAGCTTGTGTTTCTTCAAAGTCTGCAAGCCGCCCGCTCTCCCTTCATCGCCGGACCCCTCAAACTCTTCCAGCACCCTCAACAGCCCCCCAAACCCCTCTCCCACACACACACACTCACACCCTGCAAACCTTTGCACACACCTACACGCACTCACCAGGGCTCCAAGGCTCAGAACATGACCAATTGGCCCTCCAAGATTCCCCTGCTGCTGAGCGCGTTCAGGGTGGTCGACAACGGAGTGCTGGTTCAGCGCAACACCACGGTGGGCGGCCGCAGCCGTGTCGCAGGGCGGTGGGGCTACTGCCGCTGAGCATTTGCAGTGCGCTTGCCTGAGTGTGTCGCACCCCGCATGCTGCATGCGGTGGTTTTCTGATCCACGTGCGAATGACGGCCAATCGGCCGGTTGAATGGGTGCAGACATGCGCACGCACGCGACATCTGCCCAGGCATGCGTGCCCACATGCACGCGGTGTACCACCCACCAGCTGCTTGAGTCGGCTCCGCCCGGCCCTGCTGAACCGCCGGCCGCAGATGCGCATCCGCAACATGGGGTCACTAGTGACGGCGCTGGGGAAGCTGCCCCATGGCTTCACCACTGCGCCTGACGTCCCTGACCTACAGCCCACATTCCTTGGGGGCGCCCCGCCCACGTTGGATTCGACCTCGTTCGTCATACAGTCGTGGCAGGTGAGCATTGGCACGCGTGCCCGGGTCTGTGTCTCGGTGTGTGCATACGTGCACGCGCACCTGTCATAAAGGGGTGGGTGCGACGGGTGCTGTCTGTCCGCTTGGGTTTCACGGGGCTGGTATGCGGGTCTGTGCATACGCAGGCGTCTGTTTTGGCAGAGGCGATGGTGTCAGATGCGCAACGGTCCAGCAATACCCCCTCTTCGGGAACCCCGGCGCTGTCCGCGTCGCCCCCGCACGCGCCTGCACATGCACATGCACACGCGCGCGCCCCCTGCGACGCCGTGTTCGCCCTCTGCAGCTGGACTCGAAACGCTACGCGGCCTGGACGCGTGCGGACACGCTGCCCACGTCCATCGCGCTGTGGAGCTTCACCGACGTGACGGTCCAGCAGTACGTCGCATCGCACTGCTACCGCGCGGCCTTGCTGCAGGCGAGGGGGAAAGGCGCCCGGGCGGAGCCGGCAGGGCGGGGCAGGGTGTTGGTTGTGCACGCGCACGAGAGCCGGGCGGCCGCCGGCGGGGCTGGCGGCGTGCTCGCTGTTGCAGGCTGGTATTTTGATCATCGGTTGGCTCGCGGCGCTCACAGCTGCCTCTTGGTCCCGGCAGACTGTGGCAGGGGGCACATGCCGCGTGGCTTGCGAAGGCCCGGCGCCGATCGTGCGTGCGCCTTGCGCAGACGCCCCTCACGCGCGAGAACACACACACACACACACACACACACACACGCAAACACACACACGCACGTACATACATACATTCAGACATTGGGCGCCGAGCGCCCACACGCACGCACGCTTGCATTCACACACGTATACACACAAACGCACACATGCCTGCGCGCACGCACGCATGCGCATCCCTGTGATCATGTATCATGCACCCATGCGTGCGCTCGTGCACGGGTGCACATGCAACCCCACCAACTCATGCACGCATGCGCGCACTTGCTCTGCGCAGGGCAAGGTATCGGAGGACACAATCCCCCAGGTCTCCAGCGGGCGGCAGCTGCTTGATGCCCTGGCAAACGAAAAGACCAGGTGCCCCCAGCCCCCACACGAGCACGTGCAGTGCACACATGCACGCGCTCGTCACCCTGGGGTCGGCCATGCCTCTGCAACGTCGCGCGTGGCGCCGGGCCTGCCTTTGAGGGGACCGCTGCGATCCCTGCGGCGCGCCGGGCCTCCTCAGCTTCCCGCCTGCCAGCCAGCGCGCCTCTCGCACCGCGCCGCGCCCGCTCGGCGGCGCAGCGTCGCACGGCAGCGCGGGCCGAAACGCGCAAGCACAACGCAAGCAGCGCAGCCGCCACCACCATGCTGCCCTGTGTCGCGCGGTGCACCCCCCAAACACCACCGCCGCCGCCGCCGCCGCACCCTGCAACCAAACCCCGCCAACCCGTTTGGCGGGGTGACCCCCAGGTATATCCAGGTGGTGGACAACATCAGCCTGGACCCCTCCACGCCCCCCAACGCTGCCACTGTCGGGCGCATTGTGGAGGTGCGCCGGCGCCGCTCGAGGCCACGGTTTGTCAGCCAGCCACAGAGAGAGGTGGAGAGAGAGGTGGAAAGAGAGAGAGAGAGAGAGAGAGAGAGAGAGAGAGAGAGAGAGAGAGAGAGAGATGCATACAGATGTATAGAGAGACTATTTGTGTGTGTGTGTGTGAAAGAGAGACAGTAAGGTGTACACATACTCATGTACCTCACTCTGCTGCGCGCGCGCGCGCAGGTTCGTGCTTGCCGCATGGCCTCCACCGGCGCCCGCAACGGCTTCTTCGAGATCAACTGGGCCAACACACAGGCGAGCTGCCCGCCCCGCCGGCCCCCCTCATGCCCCCAGACCCCTCACCTCGATCCCGCACACGACACACTGGTTGTCAACAGCGACCGACGCGCGCCCCAGGGTGCGCCGCCCGCGCCGGTCCGCGGGCGCCAGCCTCGCACCTCGCCCCTCGCCCGTCCGCAGGGCTCAGTGGCTGTGACCGGCAACCTGATCTTTAATGGTGACATCATCATGACGGGCCTGGGGTGGGGCCGCGGGGCGGCGGGGCCGCTGTCCTCCGCAGACGGGGCCACCCCGCCCGGGCTCGGGGCGGTGGTCGGCGCGCTCTCGCCGCGGGTGAGCAGCGCGCGCGCGGCGTGCGACGCGGCCGCACCTGCGGCGCAGGGGGGGCCGGGGTGTGGGCCTCCTGGGCGTTGGCGCCTCACAACGGCACGCCTGGCTGACGCTGCCTCATTGAGGCGCACCTGCGTGCGTGGAAACCCCACGCACGCATTCAACGCTCACCGTGCGTGCCAGGGTTGCAACCTGGGCAGCACCGCCTGTGTCCACCCGACTCGATCGCACCTCAAACAACACCCCTTGCCACCCCCACCCCCCTTGCGATCCCTCCTGGCCCGCCCATCCAGTTCACTCC